TCTCTTAAAAAAAAAAAAAAAAAGATACAGGATTAAGAATTACAACTCCTAGGGCTAGGAATATATCTCAGTGGTGCAGCACTCCCCTGGCCCTTCCCCTCCACCACTTAAGAAAGAATGAATCTCCTTTACCAGAGTACTTTTCTCAGCTAACCTGAAATGCCTAGATTAAATCACTTTATAACTAAGAATATTTTAAAATAATACCTTTGTCAATGTTTTCATTCAAGTGGCAATTCTTCTTGGTGTCAGCCCCAATTTTATTATCATTTTCATCAATAAGAATACACATCTCTGCAAGGAGTTGGACTTGTTTCTCATCTAGATGATTGGTCTTTATTTCAGGCATTGTTACAAATTGTCTGATATGTCCTAAAACACTAATATTAAGAGAAAGAAAGTCCATTATATCATAGTTTTCTGAATGTCACAGAACCCTAGTGAAGGAGCAGTTCTAGATCTGAGCCCAATAATGAATTCAGCCATTTCACGGATTATCAATTATGACTCCAATCTGCAGTCTCGACACTCTTCATACCCACTGGGCTCCTGCAGGAATGATGCTGGCCCACTGGTCAGCCCTATTTTGACCATCATTTTTCCTACCAACAATCACAGCTGATCACTTACCACAATCACTCTCTTAACTGCCAACTCAATGTCCTACTCCAATTCTTCTTCCTTTTTTTTTTTTTTTTTGTGCTGGGGATTAAACCCAGGGCCTTGTGCATGAGAAACAAGCACTCTACCAACTAAGCTATATCCCAGCCTTCTACTCCAATTCTTGACTTGAGATTCTGAAGCACTTCATAGACAGTCTTTCTTCCTTTGTATGTCCCTCTTCCTAAGGAGTCTTGTTCATCTATGATGCAGCCCCAACCTATTTTTTTTTTTTTTACAATGACTTCTGGATTCCCTGTTTCCAGAGTCAAATATTTTTGCCATTCTCTGCCTCTACAAAGCTGCCCAAGAATGCTGCATAACAATGTTTGCTGAATTCACTTTTCAATGCTAAACATTCCAAAACTTTTAACCAATGTCCCAGTGAGATTTAATTCAGTCTTTTTCAACCTGAGCTCCTAATTAGTAAAATAATTTGTGTGACTGTTTCAATAATTCTTCCACAGCTAATTTCATTCTAAATAGGCGAAATTTACTAATATTCAATGGATGTCATTGCAGTGCGTGGCACTTTTTTCTATAATGGGCCAGACATTATCAACTCTGTTTTTGTAGACTAAGCAATGCAAGAACTATGTAATGCCCCAAACACACATAATGTGTACACTGAGTGGTTGTGTTCCAATCAATCCATTTATGGACATTGATATCTGAATTGCACTTAAATTTCGTGTTCCAAAAATATTTTCTTTTGATTCTTTTTCATTTAAAAATGAGAACATTTGAGCTCATGGGACATAACAAAAACTGGCAGCAGGCCAGATTTTGCCCTTAGGCAATCCAGACTCATTTAGGGTACTGTAAATCACCCGCATATGATTTAAACTTAGAACTGTTAAAATGAGACCAGGATGCTCCCACTGAACAACTCTTCTCTCCTTAAACCAGTTATTAAAGCGCTTTCTATACTTTCCTGCAAAGTCTAAAATGCCTAAAGCTAGAAGAACTTGTTCCATAATTTCTGATACACACACTCTCTCTCTTTTAAAACAGGCACACGGACACCAAGGAACAAAACCTGCAAGCCCGCCCTCCAACTGGAGGAGTAAGGCTGGACTGACCTCCTCCTGCCAGGGCAGACAAGTGAAGGCGCCCACGCTGCAGTAACCCAGGGGTTCAGGCCGGTTCCGCAGGGGAAGCCGGACTTCCCGTACCAGCCCCGGCATTTCTCTAACCATCTCCCCCGCAGCACAGGGAGCCCAGGCGGAGTCCGCAGCCGCGGCGCGGGGGCCACCTGACCCTGCCCAGTCCCTCCGGGTCCACGCGCCCACCGTCGCCCCCGTCGACGTCTACTCCCACGGCGGGCAGTGCTGCCTGCCTCAGAACCCACCCGCCTGCAGCGGGGCACCCGGGGCCCAGGGAGAGTGGGCGCCGCTGCTGCCGCGGTGACCCAAGTTCCGCGTCTCGCAGAGTCCCTACGCCCCGTCCTGTGCTCCCAGTCCACCCCACAACCTTCCACCCCTCCCCACGTACCTCAGGCCAGAGATGCGAGCCGGCCCAGGATCGCGCCCCTTTTGAGCCCGGAGAGCAGCGCTCGCCGCTCCCTGGCTCCGCCCCCGAGCCGCGGGCCCAACCACTTGCACCAGCGCCCTCCCACACCACATGCTCTGGCCAATCGCAGCTCGCGCCGGCCTGACGTCACGGCCGCGCTAGGCTGTCGAGCGGTGGTGCCACTTCTCCTGACCGCGGTTCCCGGAGACGCGCCGGAGCCTTCGGGGAGCGTGGGGACCCCTTCTCGGAGAGCCTGAGGTCATATGGACCCTGGAGGGAGGCTGAGGTGGTCACTGGACCCTGCGACGCCGCTGAGGAGAAGCCCCGCAAGCGGGCAGGCGCCTCGCTGCCACACGCCCGCCGACTGCCTGCCAATCGTGCCCCAGATCAAGCCCATCGGCGGGAGGCGGGGAAAGGGCGTGGCCGGGGCGCTGCTGGGGTACTTGCTGACGTCAGGTGCCTCGGAGCTGGCCACCGAGTCCTGCCCGCGCCGGCTCCTACCTGGAGAGGATGCGCGGAGCGTGGGCGTCCCCAGTGGGCGTGCGGCATGCAATCCGCAGTGTTGTAAGACGCTTGCGGAGGGCGGCACGGGACTTCCGCCCGGCTAGGTTGATGGAAGTCAGGGAAAACCCAGGAGTCACCATTCAGGGTCCGTTGAGAAGACTCACTTCGCGCCCCACAAGTGACCAGTTTGGAATCGTTGAAGAATTTTTCTCCACTGTTTTACATGATATTTCCTAGATACTCTGCAACTCGAGAACAATTGTTTAGCAAAGCTGAGGGACAGGTTGGGGAACGTTCTACACTAGGTAGGATTAATTTGGCCCTAATTAAGCCCTAAGGTGGCAATCATTTTCTCATGCGAATAAATTTAAGATTACATGTGAAATTGTTTGTAAATTTTAAAACAATCCTGAAATGTACACGAAGTTGAAATAAAACTTATTTACTGTTCTGAGAAATTAAAAATATTGAATTTGTCACCTAATCACGTGTGTTTCACCAGTTCTCAAATTTTTTGGTCTCTGGACACTTTTACACTTAAAATTATCGAGAACCCCCCAAAGCTTTTCCTTACTATTGTTTGTACATGTTTATATTAAAATTAAAATTGGTACATTAAAATATTCACTTAGGAGTAATAACAATATTGCAATTTAACAAGTGACATTTTATCATAAAAAGCATTTTTATGCAATTTTTTTTCCAAACAAAAAAATTCAGAGACTTATTGTACATTTTTTGCAAATCTTAATTTCTGGTCTAGTAGAAGACAGCTGTATATGTTGTATAAGTTGAAATACATAAAGTCTGGCCTCAGAAAGATACATAATTTGAAAATTGAGAAGTATTTTAATAGCTTTCTCAAATGATCATGGTAACTTTTTTGATACTACAGCAAAACAGGTATGTTAGTTAAAGGTTATTTGCTATTTGGATTCTGAATTATAATGAACATTTCATATTGTAGAATTAAAATTCTTTTTTTTTTCTTTTGTGGTACTGGCGATTGAATACAGAGCCTTTCACATGCTAGGTAAGTGCTCTGCCACTGAACCATATCCCCAGCCCCCCCCCTTTTTTTTTTTTTTAAGACAGGGTTTGGCCAGGTTTCTCAGGCTCAGCCCATAGAGTAACGGAGATTAACAGGCAAGTGACACCATGTGTGGCTAAAATACATTGATTTTGATTGTACCCTTGAATGCATATTTTCTTATGTGTTATTTTGTAATATCATACATTGGTCATTTGCAAAATATAGATTTAACTGAATTAAATAGATCTTCCAAACATTGACCTAGTTTTTATTATTATTATTATTATTATTATTATTATTATTATTATTATTATTTGTGGGGAGGAGGTGTACTGGGGATTGAATGCAGGGGCTCTTGACCACTGAGCCACATCCCCAGCCCTATTTTGTATTTTATTTAGAGACCTGGTCTCACTGAATTGCTTAGCACCTTGCTTTTATTGAGGCTGGCTTTGAAGTCACTATTATCCTGTCTCAGCCTCCTGAGTGGCTGGGATTATAGGCATGCCCCACCATGCCCAGCCATAGTTTATTATTTAATACCAGGTAATCATATTATCACCAGCAATTTCATCAGAAAAGCCTTTAAGTATGGAAAGCTGTCAAGAGCTTGGTGGCAGATACCAGTTCTTTTGTGCAAAAATTCAAATTTTATTATTGGTAGCACACACTATAATTTTCCTTGAGGTGGTAGGCTTACTTCATTTATTTTCAAGAAAATGTCTGCCAGATACTTTGGTTTGAATACATTTAATCTCTAGTTCTTTCCAATAAAAATGGTATTTTGGGGAGGGGGGCAAAAAAACAACCAGCTATTTAAGCTTAGAACTCAAAAAATTTTTATGAGAGTTTTCCTGAGGACAACAATCATAATTTAGTGTGTAGCATAAAAGCTTTATACATACTTCCCATTTTGTTATACTGTATTAAAAAAAATGAGTATCCCCAGTGGCTTGGTAGGCTGAGGCAGGAGGATTCTGAGTTCAAATCCAGGCTCAGAACCTTAGCAAGTCTCAAAGCAACTCAGTGAGATCCTGTTTCTAAATAAAATACAAAAAATAAAAACAAATAAAAAAGGCTCAGGATGTGGCTCAGTGGTTAAGTGCCCTTGTGTTCAATCCCGGATTAAAAAAAATATATATATATACACACACACACACACACACATACACATACAAGGACTGAAAACATTAAAATTAGTATTTTTCTACTGCTTTTTTTTTTTTATCAAGGAAGGACAATTGTTAAGTAAAACTGACGTTTTATATTTCACCTTCGATGAAAATGTCAACACTGTATAAAGGGTAAATAACATTTTAATGTTGTTATGAAAATAGTATTGACATCAGAGACCTCCTGAAAGATTCTTGAAAATTCCCTGAAATCTCTGGCCACTTTTTGAGAACAAGAGCTCTAAAGCTACTACTTTGAAAAATTCCAGAAAGCACACACACAAGCACACAATTCTGTGACCTTCATAAAGAAGATGTCATCTCATTTCCTGCAGTCTCTGGAAAATTTCACCATACCCTCATGAGAAATTGAGAGTGAAGAAGGCAGCTGATGTTTTAGTATTACTGTGAAATTATTTAAACTTCATAAAGTCCTTAGGAGCTTTCAGAACAGCCACAAGTTACTAGGCCACCTTTTGAGAACTGCAGGACTAGTGGAAAGTCCACTGAATCAGAAGACCTCAGTTCATATCTTGATAAAATTCATATTGAAAGTCAATCCCCAGGATAGTGATATTAAGAGGTGGGGCTTTCTGGGATGTGATGAAGTCTTGAGGGCTTTGCCCTCCTGAATATATTAGTGCACTGTAAGGGACGGAGACATTTGTACTTAAGCCTTTTTTCCTTTCTTTTTTTCACTTGGTACTGGCGATTGAACCTAAAAATGCTTCACCACTGAGCTACATCAGCCCTTTGAAAAATTTTTGAGACAGGTTCTTGCTAAGATGCCGAGAGTCTCACTAAATTACTGAAGCTGGCCTCAAGCTTGGGAATCATCCTTCCTCAGCCTCCCTAGTTGCTGGGATTATAGGCATGTGCTTCTATGCCAGGTGAGCCTCTTGTTCTTATTTTGCTCTTCTCTCCCTTCCACCACATGAGAACACAATGTTCATTCCCTCTGGAGGGTGCAGCAACATGGTGCCATCTTAGAATAAGAAA